TTAACACATTGCGTACCGCATAGAAATCTCTAAGACATACGCCAGGGACCGCACGTTTTTGGGCAAACTGCACGTTATTTAAATCATCATAATGCACTTTAGGTATTGTTTTTCAATAATTATAACAATTTTATTTACAAAAACAATTAAACAATTAAAGTTCCTAGTACTTTTTTAACGTATGGTACTGCGTAAAACATTTTCCTCTATGAAGAGGGACCAAACAAAATTAAGTATCTAGATTCGCTCCTTTTTCCTTGGGCGTGAAAAACGAGAACACTTGTGAGTGGTCCTTAACAGATGGCGCGAGAAACACGAGAAAACTCCTGAACGGTACGAAATGTGTTAAAGGGTCACAGCTTAGGAAGGTTGAGAACCACTGATGTAGTCGGTTAGAATAGGTGCTAACGTGGCCAGATCCTCCCTTTCGCCCTAGCTCAGCAAGTAGCTCAACATAGGGTCTAGGCTGGATCACTCCAGTGATCTACTGCAGGACTTAGAGCCTGAGGAAATAATCTATCTATATAAAAGGCTAATATGCTAAGTGTCCGTCCGGGTAATGACGTCATGTAGCAACGCCCAGCTTCCTCTCCCTACTGACTAGCCTGTTCACAGTTTCTTCAGCCCAGGAACACGACTTGCTTTATATCCAGATGCAAACATTTTACACTTTAACCAAGCGTTTTCCCGTGCCTCATCTCATGTGATCCTCACAGAAGTCCTGAAGTAGGTAGATAGGAGACTTGGTGGAATCCTATTTTCTTTTCATTAGCCGGAAAATGGAGATTTAGAAAGCTTAGAAACTTGACCTGACTGAAAAGAAGTTAGAAATGGTGGAACTTGAAAATGACTTCAGGTTTTCTCACTGCACAGAATATAGTCAAACACGGCTGCAGTTAAATATTTTACCCTTTGTTCTCCCTACGTGATCTACAATAATAATCTGCTTTGTGTTGATATTTACTGCTGTGTTGCTGGCAATTACCCGAAAGAGAAGTTGGGGTGCTTCACTGGGCTGGAAAAAGTTTAGCTACATCAGAAAGCAGGTCTAATTAAGCAAGTTTGTTCTATATCTATAAAAGGCTAAGTTGACTCGGGCATGCGCAATACATATAAAGCTCTTGCTGGTGCCAATCGCACACATGTTTCCATCTGTCATTGTCAATTGTGAATTTGGCTGACTCTCTATTATAGAGAAAGGGTGAAAAGCGATATTAAAATATTACTTCTAATTGGTTTCCTTTCAATGTGCACGAATTTGTGCACTGAGCAACTAGTACAAAAATAGAAGGAAGCCCTAGCCAGTTAGGCTCAGTGGATAGAGCGTGGGCCTGTGGACCGAAGGGTCCCAGGTTCGATTCCGGTCAAGGGCACATGCCTGGATTGCATGCTTGATTCCCAGTAGGAGGCGTGCAGGAGGCAGCCAATCAATGATTCTGGCTCATCATTGATGTTTCTCTCTCTCTCTCCCTTTCTCTCTGAAATCAATAAAAAAACTATATAATATATATTTATTAAAAGCAAAAAGTGTTGGGGTCCAACCCCAGCGGGTCCAGGGGTCCCCAAAGGTGTGGACGGAGTCGGCGAAGAAGGAATGACACGGAGACAGCCTTCAGTTGATCAGCAGCCTAGTCAGGACCTCTAGCCAGGATCTCCAGCCAAAGTTCTGGTCGGAGTTCTGGTTAGGAACTGATCAGGATCTGATGTTTATTGTCTTGTTACATCTATATTTATACCAGC